ATCTGTCTACCAGCTGAAGCTCAACAGAAGATGGGTGTTGCAACAGGACAATGACCCAAAGCATAGAAGTAAATCAACAACAGAATGTCTTAAACAGAAGAAAATATGCCTTCTGAAGTGGCCTAGTCAGAGTCCTGACCTCAACCTGATTGAGATGCTGTGATATGACCTCAAGAAAGCGATTCACACCAGACATCCCAAGAATATTGATGAACTGAAACAGTTCTATAAAGAGGAATGGTCAAGAATTACTCCTGACTCTTGTGCACATCTGATCTGCAACTACAGGAAATGTTTGGTGGACATTATTGCTGCCAAAGGAGGTTCAACCAGTTATTAAATGCAAGGGTTCACATACTTTTTCCACCTGCACTGTGAATGTTTACATGGTGTGTTCAATAAAAACATGGCAGCATTTCATTCTTTGTGTGTTATTAGTTTAAGCAGACTGTGATTGTCTATTGTTGTGACGTAGATGATGATCAGATCACATTTTATGACCAATTTGTGCAGAAATCCATTTCATTCCAAAGGGTTCACATACTTTTTCTTGCAACTGTATGTACTCTGCCCTAAACCAAGTATTCATGAAAGGTTAGGAATCATCTAGGCATTTTGCCTGGGCCAGTCTGTAGCTGAAAAATGTACCTGTACATTTTACATGCTCCAGTCCAACACTGTTGATCTTATATGCTCAAAAGGAGTAGCCAGTCCTTTTTTTTTCTCTGTGGGTATAATTTTACCATTATAAAATACACAATTATAATAAGTGTATAATTGTAGCCTACTGGTGGGTTGGTGGCAAGGGACATAAATTGAATATATTGTTAGTGATAGGAAGAATGTAGTTACATTGTCTGGAACAATAGCAGTGGGTCCAGTATGTAATGGGATGTACCCACAATATCGTTTTATATATCTCTTACTGAGCAAATCTTTGTATGCCTTCTGCAAGGTCTCACTGATGAGAAAGTCAGTTTTAAAATGGCAGTCTGAAACACGACAGATGTTCAAGGATATATTTTTTCTATGCAGGTATAAAGACATTTAGAATGTTTTCAACTTCTCATTTTTCTAGGGCATGTTAAATGCTTGAGCCCCTATTATGTATGTTGTTTATCAGATGTAAGAGATAAATACTGATGTAGTACATTGTACATTTTATGAAATGTTGACTTGACTACATGGATTGCATCATACTTTGTACACAGCCTTATCACAAATGTTTCATTCTGATGCTTTGGAGACTGAATCAAGAATCAAGGGCAGTCAATGGCCCAGGGAAACATAAAGAGAGGCATTCTGTACTTATTTTTGATCAGTTATCATTATGAAAGCCTCTTAGAAAACATTAGATATCACTATATTATAAGAGTACATAATCGATGAAATTTAAGTTTTATTTTCCAACAATCTGAAAAAGGTTATACAATGAACGTTACGTAAAATGCCAGGTAATAATGACTCTGTCTATGAAAACTGAAGTAAGTTATTTTTGATAATTGAGTTTGCTTGGCTGAGAACTTCAACTCTAACCTGAGATTCAGCATAGATTGCCGTAGATATATACAAATATTAATGCTCAAATTGCAATTGGAGATAACGGTTTCTGGTTGCCTCCACATACTTTGTGACCTTTCTGATAATGTGAAACTGTTGTGAACAGCATTACACACAGCACAGTAGCTTGATTAAATTCAATGATCCTACGACAAAGAGTTACCACTAAACAGTTACATGCAGCCTGTAGTTTCGGCTGGTAGTATATAATGTGACTGAAGCATTGTATTTGAAAATTTGTTTTGCAGAATGGCCCCTTCTGCTATATAGATATTTCATTAGTTTAAAGTAGGATAGGCGCTTGATCCAAATAGGCAAAAATGGCCTAATAAGGAAGGATATAATAAAGAAAGATGAAGATTGAAAGCTGTATTGGCAATCCTTGAAGCGTTATCTGGCAAAAGTAACCACGCCACTGGCTTTTGGAGGAGCCTGTTTGCCAGCCTCCTGCCCTGTGACTATGGTCCCTGTGATAGAATTTGGTTAAAACCACTGTTTGTGCCTTTTGGACTTCTGACATTAGTCTGCTGGACTTCCATCATCGCCTGCATTCGGTTCTATAAAACTTAGAAGAGCACTGTGCGGTTAAATCATTCGTCTGGATGAGGGGAACAAGCTCCAGGATAAGACTATTAACTCTGTTCGTTTTCAAACTACTGAAGTATACCGACCATAAGCCCTGATTCTCTGGAACTGTTTTGGGCATGGGACCATGCCTGCGGTCGGTCAAATAAATTAGTTCCAGGAAATTCCTGAACACCTGAACTGATCTGGGTGATTTTTGGATATGTTGGTTACCCAGATCAGGGCTATTAGGGGATGTAACATTTGTGGGGATTGTCTTAGGTCCAGTGTGTTTTTGGGTACTTTTGTGGTTTTATAAAAATATGTTTTTTTTCTGCCTGGAGATAATTGAGTTATTACTGTACCTGACTCAATTATCTCCCAGACAGAGGAGAGGGATTGTATGCTGTGTGTTGGAGTGTCATGCCTTGTAACCTTATTGTTATTGGTCTGTGATGTTGTAAATCAGTCTACCATCAGGTCCATGTGGGCATAGCCCTTGCATGAGGATTGTCATATAAGGCCAAGTGTGGCACCATTAAAATCAGTCTTACTTCACCCTCAACACAGAGTCTCGTCCTTTGTTGTAGGGAACTGCTATACCAGCTATACTAGCTTTAATCCCTGCTCCTGGGATTGCTCTTTGGATTACTATACTGGCTATAATCACTAGCTCTTTCAAGAGCTACACAGTCAGATCTGCTACACTCTCTGGAGGAGGAGAGACCCACCCACTGGAAGCTGGATCCTTGTCTTAGGTCCAGTGGTGGGTGGAGGACGGCTTATAGTGTCTGGTGTGGTGCTTATAGTACCCAAGGCGACCAGGAAGCAGCGATTGGTGGAGGCACCCAGTCGGGTTGCCAGGTAGTCCCTCACGAATGAAAACAGCATAAATGAACAACAAGCCAAGTCTGGGATACGAGGCCAGGATAACAACATCAATCCAAGTCAAACTGAAAAAACACAAAAGAACTGCTAAGAAATTAACTATGCAAAGTCCAATGACTATTGGAACCATTTAAGGGCAAACAAATATGCAATGATACAGGTGATGACGGGGAGGTATCGTAATTGTACAAGTGTGTTTGAATCATGCATGCTGATGTGAAGTGTTAGACACACATTTGGTGAAGAGTTAAAATGGAGCCAATTTGATTGCATCAGCTTCACATTGCTGTCATATGCCAATAAAAATACTTGTGGTCATAGTCTTTGCAGAATTCATTCTAACATAGTGTGTGTGTGTGTGTATATACTCTTTATTTACTCTCTATTATTATTTTTATACTATTTTATCCTACTAAACTTTGTATTTCGAACATAACTAATATAAATTCCTCCCTTTGACATTACTTTGTTCACGTTCAATGATGTTATATTAATGTCATATTAGAAGTGTTTTGGTGCCTGAATATTAAATCAATACAAACAGATACATGAATGATAAACATGTTTACCTAATGCTGCACTTGTGCTGTGTTTCACTTTTTAAATGTGGAGCATAAATTATGCATCTGAATGAGTAATTGTCTATACAATGTTGCTCATTGTAGAAAACATTGACTTTTTCAGCAATTTGATTATTACACAACTTTATCTCATTTTACATTTATTACAATTTATTGCTAACGGAAAAATACAAACTTATATATACATTTGTCTTGATCATCTCTAACCTTCTCTACATGTGTCTACAATATTCTAATTACATCTCTAGAACAGTTTCCAGTGTTTAACTTCAATATCTAATTACATTTTATCAATAAAGTCCTCAAGAGAATGTTATCATATTAAGCACCATATTTCTTGTATCAGAATATTTCTAGAATGTTTATTATTTTTTTATAGAGAAATGCAAGCATTAGGCTTATGCATTCATTTTTTAAAGAATCTTAATTCAGACAAAAAAAGGCTCATTCATTTGTATTCCAAATATCTAAATGGCATAGTAGAAGAATGAATGAATGGTGCACCAAAAGATATTCTTCTATGTGCAACGTGTTCATTCGGATGACGTCATCAGCGTTTTCATCACAGAAAGGGGAGGCCTAGGGGGAAGGTTGGCTGATTTTGAGGGGGGGGGACAAATCAGCTCACTCCTGTGTTAGGATCTACAAGAGGATTGACCAATGGTGTAAGGTGTGCATCCCTAGGTTACAAACAAAAAAAAGGATTGTGAGGAAACACCATGTAAATCCTAAGCAAGGATTTGGTGAGACTCACATGTAGCATATGTCATTAATTCTTCTGTGTGGTAAGCTAAGCCATGTTCATGCTGAAGGCTTTGGCCATATAGTGGTAGACTACCAGGTTAGGTAGCTTAGACTAGCCTAGTAAAGAATTACCATTCAAGCTCTTAGGTCTGTTTAAATTTATTTCAAAGTGATAGCGTTACTTTAATCTGCTTTTCCAACCAATGTTATGTGCTGTGCCCTAGTCTAGAGAGCAATAAATACAGGTTTAAAAAGAAATAGGGGGGCGGAGCTGGACCTCCAACAAAGATGGATGCGTGAGTCTGCTGCTCTCGTTCCCACAAGCCAAAATCAGCTATTATCTGTGTCTTCCCACACCCATCCCTTTGCACAAATAATGGGAATCAACCCTAGAACACCCCACCGAACCATAACACTATGGGGGGGCATGAAAAAAAAGAGGGAGCTGACCTTTTCTGTTGCCTCCTTGTTCCACACTCCCGGGGAACACAGGCAGCCATCTTCCACACGATGCCTTGCTGAATCAGCCTCAGACTCTGAAGCTAGTGACATCTCAGTCCAGCCTCAAGCCCCACTAACCTACTCCTCGCTACCACTGAGGACATCAAGGTACATACTGCAGCAGAATTGGAAAAGCACATCAAAGGCCTAAAAGAAAACCTGATGGCCTTAACCTTGCGCACCAGCCAAGAGGAAGTACAAGTCACGGGTCTCGCCACGCAAGTGTCATCTCAAGACACCGAGATAGAGGGACTCACGGAACAGCTCAACTCCTTGGAAGACAATCTGGAGGACATAAATAACTGCTCCAGGCTAAATAACCTCCGCATTGGCGGCCTAACAGAATCAGTGCTGCCCAAAGCCATTCTCCATACCTTATGGGAAATTGTTACATCTCTGCTGCCAGAGGCCTCCAAATCGGAGCTCACTATTGAAAGGCGCTACAACCATCGGCACTTTGCGACTATAGAGCGCCTCATGACCGCAGCCAGGGATACCCCACCCATGGTACAAGATCAGGAATTGTCCTTTTACCAAGATTTGGCCCTCTCCACATTAAAGAAACGCTGGGACTTAAAACCGCTCACAGCAGCCCTCACGTGGGGCTACCCTTTTTGTCTCATTGTCCGAAAAGACAACCAGACCCACACATTAATGAAGGTATCAGACATAGAGGACTTCGCAAGAACTTTGGGTTTAAAACTCGAGGTGGCCCCTGAAAACACCTCTGCAGCCGCTCGACCACCCACCACTAAAACCTACACTAGCAAACCCATGCCGCCCCGCCAACCTGTGAAGCGGCATTCCCCTCCATCCCCGAGGGAGCCTGAGAGACTACCCATCTGATATCACAAGGCATTCAGCCTGATATCTCCACTACATTCAGGTCTCCCACCCAGTGGGGCTATACTGTTCTTGATATCTAGACTAATGTTGACCGATAGTCTTCTCAGTTCTGACATGTATGTTCTCACCTGTATTCACTTGCCTGGTTTGACCCTGGTAGCCACACTATTTGTCTCTTACCCATCCCCAGGTGGACTAGCATTTGTCCTACTAATAATGCCTGCAGACCCTGCAGGGCTCCTTAATTCACCCAGATTGTAACATGCAGCATCCGCTCATTATAACTATGGTGCATCGCTTTCCCTCCATTTCCCCCTTTATTTAAGTTTACTTCAACCACTTCCACAAGGGCACATGTAGCTAGCCAGATAAATGTGTATACTTTAAATTATTTTCATGTCTACTTATTGTTGTGAATTTAATGTGATGGGGGGGTGGAGCTGCTCTGGGCTTTCATGGGGGAGAAGGGATGAAATGGAGGGAGGAGGGGGTGGGAGGTTGTGAAGGGGAAGGGTGGGTCCTGCTTTACAAATTAAGGAGGACATCCACAAAGCCCTCACAGACTACTTTTCCCTGAACAAAGACTCAGTCACCTTGCGCAGCATCCTATGGGCAGCCCACAAAGCGGTACTCAGAGGTCACATCATTAGTATAGCCTCCGTTCACAAGACCAAACAATTACTCGAATTAGAAAACACACTACAACAGCTCTGAACTTTGGAATTCAAACACAAACAGGACCCTACTCCGGAGCTAACGGAACAAATTAAAAATTGCCAATGCACACTAAAAGCCCTCATAGCAAAAGACTCGGCTAAAGCCCTCCAATGGATGAGGAAACTCTACTATGAGAAATCCAATAAAGCAGACACAATGCTGGCATGGAGACGTAGACAGAAACTCTCTCATAGACAAATAGATTAGACCCACACCACAGACAAGCACCCTACACAGGAACCAACACAGATCTCAAAAGTATTCGAAGAATACTTCGCACAACTGTATGACCATAGCCCAGAGCCTGTCCCTGGAATGACTTCCCAGGCGGCGGCAGAAGCCCTGGTGTCCCCAGTCAACCCGGAAGAGATAACCAACACATTCAAACTTCTAAAACCAAACAAATGCCCAGGACCCGATGGCTTTTTGGGCCTAAACTGCAAAACATTCTCATACACTTTGATCCCACATCTATGCAAGCTCTTTAATTCAGAGGAGAGCAACTCCCACATGAAATGTTATAAGCGAACATCTGCCTATTGCCAAAACCAAATAAAACCCTGTTAGAACGTGTCCATTATCACCCTCTCTCACTCCTGAATGTGGACATCAAAATCTTTACTAAACCCCTGGCAGAACACCTAAACCCCTTCCTACCTAGACTGGTTCATCTGGACCGAGTAGGGTTCATCCCCTGCAGGCAAGCATGTGATAACACCAGATGATCATACAACCTTATCTGGGTGGCCAACCATCGCCAAATCCCCTCCCTGTTCCCCTCACTTGACGTGGAAAAGGCTATGATCACATCCTCTGGCCAATCCTATTTGCTGTACTGACCAAGTTTGGCCTCCCCCTTGTTTTCATCGGCACCCTGAAAGGTCTGTACTCGAACCCAAAGGCAAACCTTATAATCCCTCATACTGACCCCCCAACATTTGGCATACACAATGGCACATGCCAAAGCTGTCACCTATCTCCCATACTATTTGCACTCTCACTGGAACACCTACTACAGACTCTGAGGACAGACAACACTATCAAAGGAATCTGCATCCATCAGGAAGAATATATAATGGCAGCCTATGCTGATGACGTACTATTGACTCTCACAAAACCCGTTGCGTCCCTCACCCCTCAATTTAAGACTTCACTATTTAGGTATACACCTACCAGCTGACCCTGCCCAAATATACGATCTCAATTATGCACCACTACTAAATATTACCCTACAAGATCTAAAAACATGGAAAGGTCTGTCTATCTCATGGCTAGGAAGACTAGCCGCCATCAAGATGAATCTCCTACCTCGATTCCTTTATCTGTTTCAGGCTATCCCAACACTTGTCTCTACAATTGAATTTAAGTCCTTACAAGCTCAGATAGATACATTTATTTGGGCAAATAAAAGAACACGTATCAAAAGGGTGACAATGTACATCCAAATAAAGCAGAAGGTCTCAGACTGCCAAATTTTCTGCAGTACTTCCATGCTGCACAACTGGCACAGGTCCAAAATCTACACGCCCACAAGGGAGTCAAAAGATGGGTAGACCTGGAACATGATCTCTTCGGCGGGGACTTTCCTTTCTTGTACATATGGTTACCAATAACTGACAGACCTCCCGTGCCCCCAACAACCCCAGCCCTTACCACGTCCATAAAAATATGGGACAAACTGGCATCTAAACACTCCCTGACCTCTGACCCCTCCTCTCTCACACCAGTGTTGAGGAACACGGCATGACACCCTAGGACTTCTCTCGATTCGACCACAACAACTTCAATAGAATTTATCATTTTTTTAAAACAATTCTTTGTTACCATTCTCTGAACTTCCCCAAGCCACCCCCTTACCACCTACGACCACTTCTGCTACCTCTAAATCTGCAGCTTCCTCGAGAACCCCTCCAACACCAAAGCAGGCACAACAGCCCTCACGACTTCGAAAAAGCCTGCATGCACTGACCCATGCAAAAAAGCCAAGCCAAGCTCATGTCGGCCTGGGAGAGGGGCCTGGGTCCCCCGGAGGACCCCACTGACTGGAGAGACATATTGGAAGCAACCGCCTCAGTCTCCATATGTGTAAATCACAACCCCACTTAGACTCAAACAAATGGGTCGCTCAGACTCGGACCTATGCTGGAAAGGGTATGGTCAAAAGGGAACTTATCTTCACCTATGGTAGAATTGCCCATTGTTGACTCCGCTATGGCGAGAAATCTCCCAATTAACCTCGCAGCTCCTACACACTGACATCCCTCTAGACCTATGGGTGTGGCTACTCTCCAAACCCTACAGTGACATAACCAGAGCACAAATAAAAATGGTATCTAAAATTGCTTTAGCAACCAGGAGAACAATCGCAGAGCAATGGGGAAATCCTAGCATTCCTGCACTGGAGGTGGTAAATGGCAAGATTAAACACACAGTAGAGATGGAGAAACTTTCAGCTATTGTACATGACACTACAAAACACTTTTATAAAATCTGGGACCCATGGATTCTGGAATAAACCCTCCCCACTTAAATATTTAATGAGCTGGGAGAGGGGGACTGACAGACTCTACTCACACCCAACCCTTCCTATCCTCCTTCCCCCATCTTGAGAGGAGAGAGAGGGTCTGCTCTACTCTTTTTTTTTCTTCTCTTTGTCTTTTGCTCTGCCCTCATTTTCTCGCCTCCTTTTGTCTGCTTCTCCCTCTTCTTCTCCCCCCCCCTTATCCTCTTCCCCGCCATGACATCTGATCAAGGATCGCCCCTTCTTGGATCACTCTCCACCGTGTCTCCCACTCAGGAGAATGACCTGAGCCAAGCCCCAGATAAGTGAACAAAAATTATAGTAAGTTATGTAGATGCCCACACACACCAGACACACTGAACGGGGACGTGTTCTAAATGCCCGGTCCCGACCTTAACTGTTCTATGCCATATAGGAGCCAATGGCAACAACCAACCTCTAACAACTTGAACAACTGCTGTGTTAAATCAATTCTATTATGTACCTTTTTTTATTGCATATTGTTGGTATAATGACTGCCTTGTACACAAACTGCTTTATGGAAATGACAATTTGTTCTACGTTCCTGACTAATGTCTAAATGTTTATGTTATTACTTTCTTGACGAAATTGTCAATTATAAATAAAAAATTAAATAAATAAAGAATGTAAAAAAAATGTAAGACAGAATAAAGATGACAGGTTTTTATAATGAAAATAATGAAAACTTTTCATTAACTGTAAGATTGAAAGGATTCAAATATGTTGAACTAATATTATATTCCACAACAGTAAAAGTTAAACCTGCTGATATATAAAAAAAGATGGAGATCTAAAGTAAGTTGTCTGAACAGTAATCGTTTTAGCAAATGGATTGTTGAAGACCACCCTGAATTCTAAGACACAGGAGATTGGAATGTCTTAAAAGATAACATCTGTGCTATTTTTCAAGGAGATTTCAACATGCTGGCTGCATCACTGACTGGGAGGGAAAAACTGAAGGTTTGAGAAAATCTTTAACACACTCAAAGATACTGGATATACTGGATATTGAAGAGTTAGAAAAATACTCAGTTTAATTGTGCTAAGCTTCGAAAGGCTACTGGATCAGGACAGTTATTTAGAGTTTTACATACATACATAGTTGGTCTTTGTTAATGTGATAAATATATTTTTCTAGATAGGGAGAAAGAATTGTGTTCCCATTGTGTGCATGCTGGGATATTATCTTTAGGAGATCTCTGTCAACCCTTTAAAAATGAATATTTCATAAAGATAAACTCTTTATGAAATACTCACATTGACTGTGTTTTCATTGAAATTCCAATGCGATCAAAAGGTATACTAACACAAAGCAGGGTCTACTTTGTCTTATTATTATTATTGCCATTTATATAGCGCAACAGATTCTGTAGCGCTTTACAATATTATGAGAGGGGATTTAACTATAAATAGGACAATTACAAATAAACTTACAGGAACAATAGGTTGAAGAGGACCCTGCTCAATCGAGCTTACATTCTATAGGAGGTGGGGTGTAAAACACATTAGGACAGGAATTTGCAATCAAATAAGGTGGGCTGCCCTTTAGGAGAGGGCAAGAGACAGGTATGTGAGGTAGGGGTTAGTCTTGGAGGCCATAAGCTTTCCTAAAGAGATGGCTTTTAAGGCACTTCTTAAAAGATGCAAGACTAGGGGAGAGTCTGATGGCGGGAGGCAGGCTATTCCATAGGAAGGGAGCCGCCCGCGAGAAGTCCTGCAAGCGCGAGTTGGCCGTACGGGTGCGGACAACAGACAGGAGGTGGTCACGGGCAGAGCGGAGAGACCGAGAAGGGACATACCTATGGATCTGCGAGGAGATATAAGAGGGGCTAGAGTTATTCAGTGCTTTATAGGTGTGAGTTAGTCCCTTGAATTGACTCCTATAGCACACAGGAAGCCAATGTAAGGACTGGCAGAGGGGTGAGGTGTGAGAGAACCGACTAGAGAGGAAAATCAGTCTAGCAGCAGCGTTCATTACAGACTGTAGGGGTGCAGTACGGCTTTTGGGAAGACCAAGCAGGAGAGGGTTACAATAATCCATGCGGGAAATTATTAGAGCATGGACAAGCTCCTTGGTAGTATCTGGTGCAAGAAAGGGGCGGATGCGGGCTATGTTTTTAAGATGGAATCTACAGGATTTGGCAACATGCTGGATGTGAGGCTCAAAGGTGAGACCAGAGTCAAGTATGACGCCAAGACAGTGCGCTTGCAAGGATGGGCTGATGTTGGTACCACAAACTTGAAGGGAGAGCGAAAGAGGAGGGTCAGTATTAGGAGGAGGAAAGATAAGGAGCTCAGTTTTTGAGAGATTGAGTTTCAGAAAGCGGGAGGACATCCAGTCAGAGATGGAAGAACGGCAAGCAGTGACACGTTGCAGGACAGCAGGGGAGAGGTCCGGGGAGGAGAGATATAGCTGGGTGTCAGCAGCGTATAGGTGGTAGTGGAATCCAAATGAGGTAATAAGTTTGCCAAGAGAGGCAGTATAAAGAGAAAATAGAAGGGGACCAAGGACGGAGCCTTGGGGGACTCCAACCGAGACAGGGCGAGGGGAGGAGGTATCATTAGAAAAAGAGACACTGAATGAGCGTTGGGAGAGATAAGAGAAAACCACGAGAGGACAGAGTCACAGAGACCAAGCGATTGCAGAGTTTGAAGAAGGAGAGCATGATCAACGGTGTCAAAGGCCACTGAGAGGTCAAGAAGAATTAGTATGGAGTAGTGGCCTTTGGATTTAGCTGCGATTAGGTCGTTAGTAACTTTGATAAGGGCAGTCTCTGTAGAGTGGAGAGGGCGGAAGCCAGATTGAAGGGGGTCAAGGAGAGAGTTGGAATTGAGGAAATGAGACACACGGGTAAAGACAAGTCTTTCCAGAAGCTTTGAGGAAAAAGGGAGCAGGGATATGGGACGGTAGTTAGAGGGGGTGGATGGGTCAAGGGATGTTTTTTTTAGTATAGGTACTACAGTGGCATGTTTAAGGTCAGCAGGGACAATGCCAGAAGAGAGCGAGCAGTTGAAGATGTGTGTTAGAGAAGGCACAAGACAAGTGGAGAGAGATCTGATAAGGTGAGATGGGACAGGATCGAGCGGGCAAGTGGTGGGGCGAGAGGAGCAAAGAAGAGCAGCCACCTCTTGGTCAGTGGCTGGGGAGAATGTCTGAAGGGTAGGAAAGGCATGATCAATGTGTGATTGAGAAACAGAAAGGCAAGGAGGGGAGAATTCTTTCCTTAGCTGTTCAATTTTGTCAGTGAAGTAACATGCAAAGTTATCAGCAGTAAGGTTGGTTTGGGGGGTGGCCACAGCGGGGCGAAGAAGAGAATTAAAGGTGTCAAAGAGGCGCCTGGGGTTGCGGGAACCTGAACTAATGAGAGAGGAAAAATAGGACTGTTTGGCAAGGGCAAGGGCTGCACTGTATGAACACAATATGAATCTATAATGGAGAAAGTCTGACTGGGTGCGAGACTTCCTCCAGGAGCCTTCAGCACAACGGGAGCATCTTATTATATACCCGTATATACTCGAGTATAAGTCGACTCGAATATAAGCCGAGGCACCTAATTTTACGCTAAAAAAACTGGGAAAACTTATTAACTCGAGTATAAGCCTAGGGTGGGAAATGCAGCAGCTACTGGTAAATTTCTAAATAAAATTAGATCCCAATAAAATTACATTAATTGAATATTTATTTACAGTGTGTGTATATAATGAATGCAGTGTGTGTGTGTTTATGTATTGTGTGCATATAATGAATGCAGAGTGTGTGTATGTTTGTGTAGTGTGTGCATATAATGAATGCAGAGTGTGTGTGTTTGTGTGAATGCAGTGTGTGTGTATATAATGCAGAGTGTGTGTGTGTATATAATGCAGAGTGTTTGTATGAGTATGTGTGTATATAATGCAGTGTGTGTTTGTATGAGTGTGTGTGTATATAATGCAGAGTGTGTGTTTGTATGAATGTGTGTGTGTATATAATGCAGAGTGTGTATTTGTATGAGTGTGTGTGTATATAATGCAGAGTGTATGAGTATGTGTGTATATAATGCAGTGTGTGTTTGTATGAGTGTGTGTGTGTGTGTATATAATGCAGAGTGTGTTTGTATGAGTGTGTGTGTGTATATAATGCAGAGTGTGTGTTTGTATGAGTGTGTGTGTACATAATGCATAGTGTGTGTATATAATGCAGAGTGTGTGCATTATATACACACACTCTACATTATATACACACACTCTGCATTATACACACACACTCATACAAACACAAACTCTGCTTAATACACACACATACACTCTGCATTATATACACACACACTCTGCATTATATACACACACACTCTGTGTGAATGCTGAGTGTGTGTGTGTGTTTGTGTAGTATGAGTAAACTGGGTGGGGGGAGGGCATTTTTATTATTTTAATATATTTTTTAATTTTAATATTATTATTTTAATATTTTATTTAATTATTATTTTAACATTTAATTTTAGTCCACCCCCCCGCTTGTTGCCTGGCCAGGGAGGGGGGCTATATGATTCCCTGGTGGTCCAGTGGGCTGTGCAGGAGGAGGGCCGGCAGCAAGCTGTTACTTACCTTTACAGCAGCTCCGGTCACCTCCGTTCAGCTCCCAGTGTAAATCTCGCGGTCTGCGTGCCGTGGCAACGCTCTGACAGCTGCGGGTCTATCAAGATTTACACTGGGAGCTGAACGGAGGTGACCGGAGCTGCTGTAAAGGTAAGTAACAGCTTGCTGCTGGCTCCCAACAGGACCGCCGGGCTTGTAATGAGCCTGGCGGTCCTGGTCTGTATTATGGCAATGTAAGTTGCCATAATACAGATAGTGACTCGAGTATAAGCTGAGTGGGGCTTTTTCAGCACCAAAAATGTGCTGAAAAACTCAGCTTATGCTTAAGTATATACGGTATATTCCCTATGCCTGAAAAAAGTTGACAGAAGCTGTTACTAGTAATGGCTGTGGGATAAAAGGCAATGTATATAGAGGACCCAATGGTCTTACGGGATTCTCCATAGACATCAGTGTTGTACTCTCATGCATGTGCAAGCATGCCACAATGATTGGCAGGAGCTGAAGAGGACCAGCAGGAAGACCAAGGCAGTAGCTATGAGGGACAAGCTAAGGTAAGTAAAGCCCACCTTCCCCTGTACCCTGCGACCATTGAACATCAAGTGGAGCAGTCACCATTGGGTGACAGAACCAGACAGTGACACAGATGCTTTAAGGGTCTACACCTACCTACATAAACATTGATTAACATAGATGATATACAAATACACACGGCACACATAATTTACACTTACAGATGTGCATACATTAGTATCTACAAACATGCATTCTCACAGTACACACACATAGAAACAGAAATGCATAAACACACTTATATAGATACAAACAAAACAAAGAAAGCTATTTGTTCAGAAACAAACTCAAACGGATGCATGATGCATGTTGTGATGTTTTCTATAACCACTAAGTTCAGCTTTGATATGTAAATAAGATTATTTTACATATACCTGATATCCAGTTTATATGTGAATTAGAAGAGGTTTTATATCTGCGTGCATGGAATGTCCAATTTATATATACATAAGAGAGGGTTGTGTACATGGTCACAATGTCCAATTTAGACATCTATTAATCAACCATCCTATGCTATGACCATAGGCATTAATATTGAGCTGGTGACCTCTATCTATGTCACAGCCTTCATTTTTCTTGCAGACCAAGGAGATAATGTCAGGAAGTTAGACATGGCTCAAAACGTGTGTTCCAATACAACCAATGAGCAAGGCCAGTGATTGAATCTCAACAAATCATTTATACAACAACCCTGTTTTGTACTGAGGAATATTTTAAAACAAGAAAGGGCATTCCTTTACTTGCTGTCTCAAAGAGGCACAGTATGTTTGAGAATAGTTTAGCTTGAAGGGATTTCTCTGAAACCCATACAAAATAGCTTTCAACTGCATTTTCAACTTAAGGCACTGAAACCGCTTCTTCTTATTGAAGTAGTTATAGTGTCTTTAGTGTCCCCAGGAATTGTCCTTCTGTTCATTGTTAAACCATTTTAAATGATTAATGGTAAATTAGAGTCCCTGCAGCAATCTATCCTGTGCTGATTGTGCTAATGAGTAAGTATTACCCTGAGCAGCAATGAGTGTCAATGATTAGCTGACTGCAATCAGCCTATCTTAGACACACATTGCTGACATTAATTGGTATGGCTAAAAAAGGAGTGTATCTCCCTTAATAATACCTCCATTGTGGGGTGTCTGCTGTTGGCCAGGGACACTTATTTAATGTTAAACTGAAAAAGGTTTAACACAGACAGGAGGGGAAATGCCCTAAATCTCCAGGCGCTATAACTACTTTAGAAACAAAACCTTTTAAGGGATAGGTGGCACTCTTATGATAATAATTCAGTGCAACCTAGAACAACTTAAAGTGTAATGTCACTCAATACACTTAAACAGGAAATGTGGGGAAAAAAAGTGTTCAAGCGCACACAGTGATTAGATAATATTTACCTTTTTATAAAATATAGAGATCCAATTAGATGTAATCAAAATAGAGGTCTCTACATAAAATAGATAAACATAAAAACCATAGTGCGATCTGTATTTAAATACATCTGTTTAAATACATACATAACGTTTTGTATGTATATGGATGTATGTTTATTGAATAAAGTGTTTTCTACCACGAAGCATCTGATTCCTGTTCCCTCTGGAAATCTTCCTATTCCAGCAAAGACCTCACGTTTATCCCATAAGTGGATGAAAAGTCTGTACAGTTCAGAGCCATCCTTTAAGGGCTCTATAAATTGTGAGTTTATTTTTAATTTCTTTCTATTATTTATTTAAATACAGGTCGCACAACGTTTTTTATGTTTATTTTATGTAGGGACCTCTATTTTGATTACATCCATCTATATTTTATAAAAAGGTAAATAATATCTAATAACTGTGTGCTCTATAACTACTGTAATGGAATTAAATGGTTATAGAGTCTATATCCCTGTAACAGAGCCCTAACGTTAGCTCTATGCATTCAGAAATGTATAGTTGTTTTTTTTATTCCATCTAAACCCTGAATAATATGTCAGATTGTCAGGTGAAAGCACACATATCAAAATTTCTGCAGTTCTTGACAAAGCTCTTAAAATGGGAAAACATGTTAATGTGGTCATAGCACCTTACTTTTGACAAAAGATTCCAGGGAGACTGAACAAAGAGTGTAGCTATTGTATTAGACATTGCATCAGAAATTAAAGGGGTACTACAGTCACCATAACAACTACAGCTTAATGTAGTTGTTCTGGTGTGTATAATCATTGCCTTCAGGCATTTTAATGCAAACACTGCCTTTTCAGAGAAAATGCAGTGTTTACCTTGACCCTAGGGACACCTCCAAGTGGCCACTCCTCAGACTGCCATTGCAGGTGCTTCGTGGCTCAGTGCTGCCCAGTAAGCAGCACTGCCATTCAGGGACGTAGAATTTTCCTCATAGAGATGCACTGATTCAATGCATCTCTATAAGGAGGTGCTGACTGGCCAAAACAGCATTTGGCCCCACCCCTTTTGCCGATTTTAGCCAATCCAATGCTTTCCCCATAAGGAAGCATTGGGTTGGCTAAAAATCGTCAATTCTGTTGATGTCACCAATGGGGCAGAGCTTTTAATGGGGATAAGGGTGGCATTCAACCTAAATGGTGGGTTAAACACTATAGGGACAGGCATACATAGTTGTGTTCCTGACCCTATAGTGTTCCTTTAAGCATGGTACTGATCTTGACACTATGAGCACTGCTTCTGAACATAATCCTATGCTAGAGATCAAAAAAGTTGGAAAAAATACTCAATATTTAATTTTATTTTTTCAAAATGCATATTTATTGGAAATAAATAACAAAATATATATCAAATATTTTATTTAAATTGTAAAGCTAAAAGTTTAATTATGCTTAATATTATTCCCCTACAAGAGCATGTTATTTATGAGCATTTCTGTTTTGCATTGAATGTTTAAGTAATATATTAAGGCTGTGAAAAATGCAATCATTCATGCATTTCTCAGCAAACAAATAAATAAATTGCAACAGCATTCAAATAGTTGTAAATTTTTTATCATCATATCTGAAAATTAAATTCAACAAGATTTGTGCACATCCAAGTGTCTTTGTTGTTTCTTTCGTATAAACACCTGCTATCAAGGTATTGTATGAGCTTTGTAAATTAAAATTATACCTGAATCAGGCATTTGAAAACAAGCTCAAGTTAAATTTTGTTCTTCAAAAAAAAAAAAAATGTATTCCTTTAAAAATGTCACTTTTATTTCTCCACATCCTCTAAATATAAGTACATTTAGCTGAGTATTCATTACTGACTACTGCTACAGCACTGTGGGTCATGATTGACCTGTGCACAACAGAAAGGATAGTCCCACGTAACGTCATTCTACTCAGTGTATAAAACAAACTAGAAAATACATGAGGGGAAGCCAGTAAGTAACCAGTTAATATGCTTGAGATACCAGAATTTGATATACTGGAAATGCCATCCAGCCAAGAAATGTAAGATTAGTGCACATATCCAATAATTTCACACTAGGGTATTTTGAAAAACCTATGAAAACCCCTGACAATGTCAGTGACGACTGATACTTTTCTTCAAGTTTCCAGCTATTGCTTTAGTATTCTATATTAAAATTGGTGGCAACATTTTTTGTTCCCAAACCTAAAAGGAATTAGTAAGGGCACATATACTTGATTTGGAGTTATAAAATCGTTTACCCAGAAACTCTCCTAGAGATTCCATTTCAATTTTTCATGGGTGCAACATATTTAATGGATGCCCATCTGCAAGATCCGTTCTATATATGTGATCCTTGGGACCCCATGAAGGTATTAATTAACATTGTGTGATTGGTTTGAGAAGAGGTCGCTGTGTTTGGCTGCTGATAATCCCATGGTTTTCTGTGAAATCTGAGGAACGCAATAGAACCATCAAAGTAGGAAAGGATGCACACATATGTTGTCAAAGCATTCATTAATACACCTATTATTATAGATACTAAACTCCTCATAAAAAATAAAATGTCAGGTGAGAACAAATAAAGATATTGTCGGCTTTAATAGCTCACATTAAATCTGTTCCCTGTAGAATTGTTCTATTCCTTTTAATGACCCAACTATAAACTTCAGTATTAAGAAAATAGGATATTTTA